GGCAGGCCCGGGGGGCCCTGGGGGTCCTCGGTAACCTGTTGGCACGAAGAAAGGTGGGTTGGACCAGCTCGAGCAGGCGTCGGCACTGTCACTGCTGACCAGGTGTCAGGGACTCACTGCGGGGAGCGGGCGGCCATGGCAGGTTTGCCTGGGAGACTTCACTTTCCCTTCTTAATAAATTGTGGCAAAATGCAGAGAACGTAAAATCGACACTTCAAGTGCAGTTCCTGAGCATGTGGCCCAGGCAGCATATCTGCCTGCCGTGTGGCCGCCACCCCCACCCCACAGCCTTTTCATCTCCCATCCTCCGGCTCACTGTCCGAGTCGGACTTACTGGGCCGTCACGGTGCTGCGGCCACAGCACTGTCCTCTGGCCTGCCTGCCTCACCAATGCTGTCCTTGAGGCTCGCTGTGTCGTGGCCCATGCAGGATGCCCTTCTCTGCACGGCTCAGTGCTTCTCCCTTTCAGGACATGCCACTTTTTGTGTCAACGTGTGCGCATGGCTGTGTCTGGTTCGTGGCTGTGCGGGCAGTGCTGCCGGGAATGTGGCGTGCGAGTGTTTGCTGTGTGGTGGTGTTGCTGTCACACCTCTGCTCGGTACGCAGCCAGTGTGTGGCTGGGAAGCACTTAGACGTGCCTTCCACCCGAGGAGAGCTGAGGGCAGAGTGTCTGATGAAGAAATCAGTGAGCCGGGACCTCTGGCTCCCAGGGACATGGTGGCCTGCTCCCTGGCTGGATCTGGACGTGGTGGGCCTGGAAACCCATCCTGCCCCTACAGTAAGGGGCCAGCACGGGCCCCCACCCCGAGGACCTGATATGCACGGCGGGCCCTGCTTACCTTGCAGGCCGAATATCCCTGACGCCCCTTTGTCACCAGGCAGCCCAGAGATGTTGGAAGGCGGGGTGATGCCGGGGAACCCCTGCAGTCCTGGACTCCCAGCTGGGCCTCGTTCCCCTTAGGAGGAGAACGGGACAAGTCATTTTCGGTACCAGCACCCAACTTTTCAAATCTACGGCTTCCTCCACACTATCCCCAGGAGACCAGAGGCATGAGGAGGACAGTGACTGGTGGTCTCTAGCCAAGGCTCATTTCCGCCCACAGCTCTCGGAGTGGGGCTGAGGGGGCTGGGGCTGTGCAACCCATCTTTGGGAGGGCTGACTGCCTCCCAGTGGCCATGACTGGCCTGAGAACCCTCTGTTGGGTCTGTCCTGAGCATGCTACTGCTTGGCCACGCTCAGATAGAGCCTTGGCGGAGCGTCACTCGGCCCTGACTCCGAGACCCGTGGGCAGCCCTGTGAGCTGCATGGTGGGCACGGGTGGATGATGGCTGGCCCTCCTCGTCTGGGAGTGTTGCGTCTGTGCATTCAACCAACCACAGTCAAAAATATATAAACCAATAGGAAATAATGAAACTGTAATAAAATAATACAAGCTAAAAGCACAGCGTGCCCGCTGTTCACACGGCACTCACGTCGCGTGTGCTGAGTCATCCCGTAGCGGGAAGGGGCTCCAGTGTGTGTGCTTTGCAGTCAGCCGAGGTCCTGGCACTAACCCCCCATGAACCCTGAGGAGCAAATGCGCTGGCAAGCCTGGCTGATGGACAGCGTGCGGACGTGACCGCGCATCTCCCATGGCTGTCTTCAGGGTCTTGGGTCTCAGCGGTGGACGGGCTGGTCATTATCCACATTCTGTTCCCCAGTTTGCCACTGGCTTCACCAGTAACCCTCAAGCTAAGACTTGGCGAGTTCCCAAGCATGCCCGGGCGTGGGGGGGGGACATTTGCTTCCCAGCTGAGGTCAGATGAGGTGACTCCTGGCACCCAGCCCCAGCTCCCACAAGGAGGCAACTCCTGGCCCCTAGTCCCAGCTCTCACAAGGAGGCGACTCCCAGCCCCCTGTCCCGGCTCCTACGACGACGAGGCGACTCCCGGCCTCCAGTCCTGGCTCCCCCTGTGAACGGTGACCCACTCTCTGTGCAGGGCCAGGCTGTTCACGGGTCTGCTTTCTGTGCGGACTTTGCATTTAAAATGGCGCCCACACTTTGGGCCGAAGGGCCATCCGTGTGCCTGAGCCGGGGTTGGTCAGCTGCAGGAAGAGGTGAGCTACAGTGAGACTCACACAAAGCAGGACAACAGGGTGAAAGTATTTTATGTTCTTAGGGGACAGCAAGCAGCCTGAACGACTGGACAGTCACTGAATGTCACCCTTCCCTATCACCAGCCAGAGGCTGGGGCCATGAGGTCCTGGGCACCAGACGTGTCTGCTCTGGCCTCTGGGGACTGCTCTGGGGCCAGACACTACTGGCCGTGGTGACTCGTGCAGAACAGGTACTGAGGGCCAACGGCTGTCAGCGGAGACGGTAGGCCTCAGGCTGTCCAGAAGCAGAGGCTCAGGCCTCCTCACCCCTGACCGAGGCTGCGCTAGCTGACCTGAGGTCCTCACCCTGACTGAGGGTGCATAGCAGACAGACCCCAGATCGCTACCCTGAGCGGAGATGTCAGGGACAGACCCCAGATCGCTACCCTGACCGAAGATGTCAGGGACGGACCCTGGATCGCTACCCTGAGTGAAGATGTCAGGGACGGACCCTGGATCGCTACCCTGAGCGAAGATGTCAGGGACGGACCCTAGATCGCTACCCTGAGTGAGGGTGTCGGGGGGCGTACCTAGATCCCTACCCTGATTGAGGGTGTCGGGGGTCAGACCCCAGACCTCCCCTCAGTGAGGCTGACTGGTGGACTGCTCCTGGACCCTGGTTAGGGTGTCGGGAGACGGACCCCAGACCTCTCCTCTAGACTAGCCAAGAGGCTCTGAACAAGACACCTTCCCTGGGAGGCCGGTGCTCTCCTGGCCCCATCCACTGCTTGGTCTCAGATGCAGACACTGCGGCCCTGCTCCGTGTGGCGCTGGGCATAGTGCCATGTGGTCTGGAGTGTCCCTCACCTGGAGCTCCTGGCTCTCCTTTCTGTCCTGGGAGTCCTGTGGGGCCTGGCAGCGTGTTGGGCTCTCCGGGCTCACCCCTGTCCCCACTGGGGCCCGGGGAGCCTGGGTCTCCATAGATGTCAGCCCCTGTGTGGAGGGAAACAGCGTCAGAGCCTCCCGCAGAGCAGTCGGTCTTCCTGCAACAGACCCGCGGGACTCCGAAGGTGGCCGTGCAGGGTCCGGCTGGCTGTGTGGCCTTGAGGTCACAGGGTCTGAGATTTGGAAGGATCCGGACACCTCTGCTTTATGGATGAGAATCTCCAGGCCCTTCTGAGGGTCCCACTTCATGGGCACAGCTGCGGGTGGAGCTGGGCCCATCCCGGGCACCCTGGCTTCTGGCACTGGCTTTTGGAAACAATAGGGCTTTGTATGCTCTTCAGGAAAAAAACGTGCTAGGTGGTTTATAAAATAGCAGAAGAATATTATTAAAGGTTTCCGTTTCTTTTCCCTTTGGGATGAAAAGCCCTGGTCTGCCCTGGCTGCAGACTAACTCGGGCCCTCTCCCCGCAGCTCCCCCTGGTGCAGCCCCTCCCTGATGTTTGGTGTTGGGAGACGGAGCCTTAGGAGGTGATGGGTTAGATGAGGTCACGAGGGTGGGCCCTCAGGATGGGATTAGCGCCCTTAGACTCCAAAGAGCCGCCGCCTGCACCATGCCAGGACCCAGCGGGGGCAGGAGGAGACCGTGGCCAGCCCCGACCGGCTAGGGGCTGCTGGGACTGCCAGCCTGCAGAAGCACAGCCCAAGCAGGACACCTTCATCGCAGTAGGGCACAGGGACTGCCCAGGTCAGGCCCCAGCTGTCTTCCTTGTAGTGGGCCAGTGGGCCACAGACAGTGACAGCGGGGCACAAACGCACCCCGGGCCTCCCCAGGGGGCTTCTGAGAAACAAAACTTTTGTTTTTCTGTCTGTAGGCCTGATGGGTCAGCCAGGCACGAGTTCTCACCGGAAAGGACGCGTCTTGGGGTCCTCTCTCAGCAGTCGGCAGAGCCACAGGCCTGAGTCTCGCCCCTTGGGGAGCTCAGATGGCACCGGGCAAAGCCACCCCCTCGGCCCCCTCCCCTGCCCTGTAGTGCGGGGTGGCAAGTCAGCAGGGTCCTCTCCCAACAGCCCTGGGTGTAACGGCAGCTGGGCCGGCCCCGAGTACCTGGTGATCCCGGAAAGCCTTTGGTGCCTGGCAAGCCGTGCAGTCCACCGATCCCGCGGAGTCCCGGGAAGCCTGCAAGGAGGTAGGGTTATGTCGTGGGTGGCAGCACGAGGGCTGCTGCTGGGAGAAGCCCCGAAGTTCACCGTGGCTCGCCCAGCTCTAAGCCACGCGCTCGGTGAGCACAGTGCGTGAACTCACCACGCCATGCCAACCTGCGCCTGCTCTCACACTGCGCTTACAGACGTGCAGACCTGGGAGGCCGCGGCCAGCAGTGCACCCATCTCCCTGACACTCGCTCGTGCCGTCTGCGAATCTGGGTTGCAACAGCAGCAGTGACCCAGCAGCCCTTGGGAGCGGGGACCCGCGCTTCTAACGCAGGCCACGGAGGGCAGGTGGCTGTTCTCCCAGGGCGTGGGAGGTGTGTGCAGCAGGTGGTCTCTCAAGGCTGGGAGTGGGTCGCCACGGGGTCATCCCATACTTTGAGCCTGGGACACTGGGCAGGGTTGGTCTCTGACCCTCCAAATCCACCCAGGATTCCGAGGCCTCACTTCATGGGACACCAGGGGGCCTGCGGCAAGACAGCAGGACACTCGTGCTTATCCACCTGGCCTACCGAGCCTGCCCGCGGGCCACCAAGGAGTGGGCTCGTGGCCTCTCGGGAGGTCTCCACTGATCTCTGGGAAGTGAGACGCTTCTCTGAGCGGAGTCCGCCCGTCCCTCCGAAGTGCCCTGTGCTCAGCGTGCACACTGCAGCTCCCCACACGCCGGCCTCTGCCTTCCTGCAGGTCTGAGACCGAGCTGTGACGGCACCCCTGACTGGCAGTCCAGCCCGGATGGATGGAGTGTGCTTGGTGTCTCTGCGAGGGAAGGAGTCGCCTTACCTGGGAGGCCTGGTGACCCCGGCCAGCCGTAATCCCCTTTGTCGCCGGGTACTCCAATCCTCCCGGGCTCTCCCTGAGGCCCCCGCAGCCCTGTCAGTCCTGGAAAGCCTGTGGGCGGACACATCATACTTCTGAGTGCACAGGAAACCCCCAGACCTCGAGCGTGCTGCCAGCTCTGTCCTGGGGAGGGCCAAGGGCCAGCAGGGCCACTGCTCCTGGTCCGGTGAGGAAAGGTTTCCCTTCAGGCCGGGACTGCAGGTGGTCCTGCACCCCCGCTCAAGTTCAGCCTTGCCAGAGAGAAAGCACGTAGGGCATTCATTCTCGTCCTTTAACCTAAACAGAGGCCTGGAGAGGACCTGGACGCAGGGCTGGGGCGACCTGCCAGTCAGTGTCCCAGTGCCCGCCGACCCCAACGAGGGCGGCAGCCACGGCAGAGCCTGGCACCAGCACCGCCGGTCGCGTCCCTGTGCTCACTGTGGGTCCTGCACAGACAAACGAAGGGATCCCATCACCCACGTCCGAAGACGCAGAGATGGCTGCTGGCCCCCACCCCGCAGCCTGGGGGCGGCTGTCTCTGTCACTGGCCCCGAGGCAGAGCTGGACGAGGGGCATGTGTGGGAACCAACTCCCAGGGCCAACCGACCACACGCTGGAGGGGGACCCTGACTGCGGGAGGGCTTACCTGTTTGTCCTTTAGGTCCCGGAGAGCCTGGGATTCCAGTCACGCCTGTTACCCCGGGGAAGCCGACTTCTCCCTCTGCTCCTTTCTCCCCAAAGAATCCCTTCAGACCTGCAACCACACATTTGCTGCTTGGAACACGCCCCTGCCCTGTGTCAATCAAGCTTTAGTGCCGTCAGAGCGACTGCGGCTCCCACCGTGCTCCTGTTTGGGGTGGAGAATGCTCTCGAAACGTGTCCCTTCCTCGGCTGGCCTCTGACCTAATCCCGTCCTCCTGGAAGCCAGCCTCGGAGATGGCTCCCAGTGGTTCCACAGGCAGTGCCCTCCTGCCCGAACAGGGCTGAGCCGTGCAGCCACACTGTGGCCTGCAGCACACGGCTTCTCAGCACACAATGCACTGTGGCTTTCACTCTGGTCTCCCTCCAGGTGGTCAGCTCTGCAGGAAGCCAGCTGCCATAGCAGCCGTGGGGAGAGATCCACGTGGCAGCACCCAGACCCTTGCAGCAGCTATGCGATGTGCCAACCTAGAAGGGATCCTTCAGCCCCGTCACACTTTCAGATGACAGCACCCCTGGGAGACGTCACAGCTGGACTCTCACAAAAGACCTCAAGTCAGAGCCGTCCGCACCTGAGTTCCAGACCCACAGAAATGGCCCCGAGGACCACTGACAACTTACTGCTGCATTTTGGGGATACTTTGTTAAGTGACAACAGATAATTAACACAAAGCCCTTCTGGGGGTTTATAGGTGATATGCAGAGAGGTTTCCTGGGGAATTTGCTAAACCTGCAGGCTGTGAACCTCTTCCCCAGGGGTGACTCAGTCTGGGGTAAGGCCTGGAATGAGCATCTCAGGTGTTGCCGAGGCGGTCACTGGGCAGACTTGGAGAGACATGGCCTTCACACAGTGGCAATGTGCAACCGTGCTTGGCTGTTTTCTGGTCTCCTGTCAGATTTTGAGAACTTCAGAATCCAAAGTCACCCTGGCTCTGTGTCCCCTTAAGGCTATGAGGCTGTTGCTTAGGAGACACAATGGGGCTTTTGTGGCCTTGAAGGAAAACTACGTGGAAGTTCTGTTTATTGTCTATAGGAGTCTTGGTGTTTCAGAATCCGTGGTAGGCCACAGTTGACCAGCAGACTGCTTTCCCAGGCCACTCCCATCTCCGCCCGAAGTGGGTAAGTCCAGCCTGCTGTCATCTCGGAGACCAGCCTGCGCCTGGCTGCCCGATGCCCCCTCTGGGATCGGATCCAAGCAAGGGCTCCCGGGCCCACTCCTCTGCAGCGTGGGCTCTGTGGCTGTCACCCTCAACTGTGACTCTGTGGTTGTCACTCTCTCCTGTCTAGGGAGAGCAGAGGCCCCAAGGACGGTGGAGACAAACAGCCCTCTGCCCAGGCACCCCAGTTCTGAGAGGCAGTCTCTTGGGGACAAATGTGGGTCCCAGTTTCACAAATACCCAAACATTCAAAGGATAATGACAGAGAATTCTTGGAGGATGGTAGGTGCTCTTCCCCGACACATTTCCAGTTCAACGAGTGCGGTTCGCACATTTCTGTGTTCGTAAAGCAAATTGCTGAAGTGATCATTTTGGACAGGAGATCCACCGGCCAGAGCCAGATGGCTCAGTGACCCACGACACCGCTGTCCAGGGAGGGAAGCCAGGGCCAGAAGTCACCTGAAGGCTGGCACGGGAAGCCGCCTGGTCCTCAACGCGGTTCTCTGACCTCGTGTAGGACTGAATGCCTCTCTCTATCCAGAGCGATTTTAGACAAAGCATTCGCCCACAGCCTCATGGACAGACGGCTCCCCTCCCAGGAGAGCTCCAGGCAACCTGAGCAGCCTGGGGCCCCCGAGGCCCAAGGCATCTCTTTCAAGTCCTCTGGGGTAACCCCACAGGCGGCAGTTTTGAAGCTGGACTCAGTGATGCTCTGGAAAGGGGAGTGAGAGGCTGAGCAGAGCCAACGAGGCCCCTAGCAGGCTGCCCCTGCTGCTCAGGAGAGGTGGGCCTGATGTCCACGCCCCTCTCCCAGACGCCCCGTCTGCAAGCAGCAGTCAGGGGCCGCCGAGCTCACGCCGTAGCCGAGGCTCAGCTCGCTCATCCATTGCTTTTCTGGCTGCAGTTGGTCTCACCCATCCAGCGTGGATTCTGTACTCTGACTTTCAGACGAGGCAGACGGGGGCTCCCTGACTGTCTCCCGCTTCCCTTTAAGCTACAAACCTCAGAGTCTGGTGTGCAGCGGCCGAAAGGCCCCGCCCATTTGCTGGGAAGTTCTTTCAGTCCTAATCAGGCACGGGTACCCGTGGCGAGCCAGGCTTGCAGACCAGGGCTGCCACTGCGGAAGGACGATGCAAAATAGCACGTACCTGGAGTCCCAACGATGCCCTGCTCGCCCTTCAAGCCCGGGCTTCCCGGCAAGTCTATGGTGTCCCCAATATCACCTGTCACATGCGAAAAGACAGTTAGCAACGGTCTTCCTACAGGACGTGGGTACCTCTGCAACTTCTGCTGTGCTAGGTCCTCCTTTTCCTTTTCCTGTTTTTGGCTACAAGGGTTATGTGTTCACCAGAGAGAGAGGAGGAGCCACCCTCCATGGAGAACGGTCACACTGAAATCCCTTCTCATTTTCCCCTCTTTGGGGTTTTAGCCACACACATACATGGCACCCGGCGTGTTGCTCAAGCCACCCGATCTGGGATCAAACCATGCAGTCGGCCATGGGGAGTGGGCTGCCTTAACCACAAGTTACAGAGCTGGCCGGACAGTGTTAGCATCTCTTTTTTTTTTAAGTATTTTTGCCATAGGGTACACACACTTACCAGAGAGAAACAGAGAGAGACAGAGAGAGAGAAAGTGAGAAATCAACCCCCAGGAGGACGGCCACACCATAATAATCCCTTCTCCTCCACTCTCCTCTGGGGACTCTGGGCATGCATGTGCTCATGCCCAGTGTGATTTTCAAGCCGCCGGGTCTGGGGCTTGAACTGCAGCTGGCCATGTGGGAGTCCAGCGCCTTAATCGCCATGCCACCTGCTGGCCCCTGTGCTATATTCTTAACAATAATAATTTGCTTTAAAACAACTAGCAGCGTTGGCTGGTCCACTACCACCTCCCATGCCCAGACAGCTCAGAGCTGCAGACACCCTGTCTTCACCGAGAGCCTCACTCACCCAAGTCTCCAGTGGGGCCGATCTCGCCGTAAAGGCCTGGTCTCCCTGGGGCGCCCTTTTCACCCTGGAGAAAAGTCAAACAGGAGATCAGCTCAGAAGAGCATCTTAGAGGAATACGCTGCGATTCGGAAGGGCCGGTGTGTTTATCTACCCTGGACACTAAAAGCCACACCCCAGGCGTGTCATGGCGTTCTGCAGACTCTGAAGCTCGCGAGCGCCGTGGTAGGGACGGCCCTTACAGTCCCTGTCCAACCGTGAGGGAGGACAATGAAACAGGTGGACAAGCTGTCACACCAGTGGCCACTGTGACACTGCTCCCGACCTGCCCGTCACCCGACAAGGGCCAGCCTGTAGCTGTCATCTTGAGTCTGCGGAAACCCCACGACGACCAGAGGAGGCGCTGCTCCCTCCTGGTGGACAGAGGGAGGACTGCGGCATGGAGAGGCTACGCGACTAAGATCTCTTAGCAGGACACAGCAGGACTGGGGCCTCCGGCGGGGGCTTGTGGATCCCAGAACTCGCTCTCCGGATGACAGCAGGCATCCGGGTACACCCCATCCATGAGGCAGGATTTCTCTACGACAGTGCTGCTCGCCAACTGAGGTCGGGGTGAGGCCTGGGCCTCCCTGTCACCTCACAAGGACCCGTTTTCCTCGCTCCAGAGTGGGGGGCTGGGGTCTCCCTCGGCTCGGCTGGGGCCATGTCAGCACGGGCACCGAGTCGTGTACGACAGCACCGAGGCTGCCCTGCCCCTGGCTTCATGTGAGCCCGTGAAGGGAGGACGGGCGGTGTCAAGGCTGCAGCTTTGCTCAGACAATGCTCGACTCCCTCCATTCCCCGTTACTGAGGCGAAGCCCCTCACAGGAAGGCGCACCGATTTCGAGTGCATAGCTTGCGTTCACTCGTGTGCGCCTCGGCGGGACAGGGCTCAGCGGGCGGCCAAATTCCTGGGCCGAGTCGCCACCCATGGCCACCTCGACTCACCCTGCCAACCCCTGGCCACCTCGACTCACCCTGCCAACCCCTGGCCTCCACGTATGCGGGACGTATCGCGTGCACATCTCTGATACTGCCCGACTTTTCGCCGCGTCTGGGACGCGAACCCTGCTTTGTCTGGAGCTCTGACCTCCGTCAAGCTCTGGTCTCTCAAGGTCCCCAAGAGGGAATGTGGACACCATGCTCCACCCAGCGAAGCCCCAGAGATACTAAGGGCGCAGGAGGACTGAACCGGCCCACTGCTCTCGCCTGTGCATGCCCCAAGCCGCAGAGGGGCTGGCAGGTCTGCGCGATGTGGCTCTGACCCCACCCTCGGGTGCCCACCAGGTGCTCTCAACAAGCAAAGGAGGAGGACGCTCCGGAACACACGAGCAGAAACACACTCACCCGGCTCCCTGTAAACCCGGGGAACCCGATAATTCCGGGAGGGCCTGCCACCCCAGGGAATCCTGGCAAACCGGGCACGCCGGGGACGCCGATGTCGCCTTTGACACCTTTGATGAAGCCGGGCCTTCCGGGCAGTCCAGGGGAGCCTGCCAGCCCGGGGACCCCTGGCATGCCTTGGATACCTGCGGAAAGACCATGGCGTGAGGCCTGGAGAGCATGCAGCCGGCCTCTGGGGCGCTCAGAGCCGCAGGCCCACGGCTGCGAATCTCACAGGGAGCCAGGGCTACGCAGCGTTTGAGAGCCCCGAGAGCCCAGGGCGGCCTGGCAGCGGGCAGGGCGGCTCGGGCACCACGCACCTTTCAAACCCAGGTATCCTTTCAGCCCCATGGGCCCCTCATCTCCTTTCTCCCCTTTGATGTCCTTCATCCCTGGCTGGATGATGGGAGGGGGTCCTGGGGGTCCAGGGTCTCCTCGGCTGCCTGGAAGGAAGTAGAACTGTCATTTCCTGTGACCTCCGTGCCACGTGGGAAGTCACAGGTGGAACGTTGTGTGTCCTGCATGGCTAAGTTCTGGGGCCTGGAGTCAGGAGGCACCTGCCTCCCCCAAACTGGAAACAAGGCTTTTTTTTTTTTTTTTTTAAATCCTTTTTAGAGACATTTTTTGCTATAGGGTGCATGTGCTCACCAGAGACACAGACAGACAGAGAGTGAGAAATCACCCCGGGAGATGGCCACACTGCAATCTCTTCTCCATTTTCCTCTCAGAATTTTTGGGCACACAAACACATGAGCCCAGCATGAGTTTCATGCCGCTAGGTCTGGGACTTGAACCACAGACCGGTGACATAACCATTATACCATCTGCTGGTCCCTGTAAACACGTTTTTAAAAAATTTGCTGTAGAGTGTGTGCGTTCACCTGAGAGCGAGCAAGAAGAAGAGAAAACAAGAAAGGTCCCCACAAGAGGGACGGCCATGTCGCAATCCCTTCTCCATTCTCCTCTCATGGTTTTGGGCATGCACACACGCCCCTGGCATATTCTCACGCCACCAGGTCTGGGACTCAAACTGTGCAGTCGGCCATGTGGGATCCGGCCGCTTCAACCACCATGCCACCTGACCGGCTTAATCTTCTACAGCCCTCTCTGATTCGCTCACAAAAGTCCTGAACAAATGAACTTAGTGAACAAGAAGCCCTGTGTTCGGGGTCTCTAGGGGCCTGTCCACATCAGGGTTTGGGCCAGACTTGTTTAGGGCCCATCCTGCCTACGTGGCGGGGTCTTCCCTCCTGGAGTCTGGCTCGTCCTCTGCCATTGCACGCTCCTTTGATCTTCTACAGCCCTCTCTGATTCGCTCACAAAAGTCCTGAACAAATGAACTTAGTGAACAAGAAGCCCTGTGTTCGGGGTCTCTAGGGGCCTGTCCACATCAGGGTTTGGGCCAGACTTGTTTAGGGCCCATCCTGCCTACGTGGCGGGGTCTTCCCTCCTGGAGTCTGGCTCGTCCTCTGCCATTGCACGCTCCTTTGCACTGCTTTCCCAGCCTCTCGTGTGGCTTCTTCACGGCCCGCCTCGCGCTTACCACGGTGTAACCGGGTCGGGAGAGGGGACACGCGTCCCTGGGACAGCTCTACCCAACGCCACCGTCCCTGTTTCCAGGAACTTGCCGTGGTTTGGACCGCCCCGTCTCACAGTCAGTGCACTGAGGCGGGTGAGCCTCTAGGCTGTCAGTTCCATGTGTTCGTGTCTTGTGGGTTTCTACTATAGCTTCGGGGTTCGTGGACACGGCTGATCCTCAAGGAGTCATTCTGAGCAGTGTTATATCGCAGAAAGTGAGTCTCGATCCCAGAGGGAGGATGGAGAAAGGGGCATACCTTTAACACCTGGTTCACCAGCCAACCCCTTCAGGCCAGGAACTCCAAAAAATCCAGCCTCTCCTTTGCTTCCTGGGATTCCGGGTCTTCCCTGGAGGCCTGGCAGGCCCTGGAAGCCGTCCATTCCAGGTGAGCCTCTACCCCCTGGGGGAAGAGAACAGTGCCCAGTTAGTCCTGAATAAATGCACAGGGATTTCAATTTCACGTACCCTCGATGTTTCTGCAGTGAGAAGATGCTAAGGTTCTTAACCTCAACTGAGGACTCGGGACACCACCTTCTAAGTACTCCTTTCTGTTGACCAATGTCCCCACACTGGACTCTGGGGACAAGCGTAAGACTGAGTGCAAGGGCATCAGGACACGACCTTGGGGACCGTGGGAAGGCAACCTAGTCCAAGGGCCCATGAAGTGAGACAGGGCCTGGCCCCCAACAGGACGTGTGCTGCGCCCAGCACAGAGATCTGGCCGAGGTCCACGAGGAGCACTTGGCACGTCTCTGGCCACTCATGGCTGTCCTTCGAGCTCGGCCTGTCCCACAGCAAAGCTTCTTTCTTTGTTTTGTTTCATATTCCCCAAATAGCCTCCAGGTCCGAGCCTGCCTCCTGAGGGCTCTGCAGACCTCCCTGTGCAAATGACGGTCCTCGCTTAGCCCAGAGCGGCCTCTGGGTAAAGCAGTGATGGGGATCTGAGGTGCGTCGGTCCTAGCCATGTCCAGAACCCAGCGTGACTTCCCGGTCAGTGCTGCTGAGTGAGGAGAGTCCCCCGCAAGGCCTCGGACCCCACAATGGCCACGGGGGGGCTGCCCCGAGTCAGAGCACCCGGGAGGTGCTTCCCTGGTCATGGTACACAGTTACCTTTTGGCCCTGGGGTACCAGGCATCCCGCTCATTCCTTTAAATCCGGGGCTTCCTGGGTGGCCTCGCTCCCCTGAGAATCCAGCGTCACCTCTGTCTCCAGAGACACCTTTCATGCCCACGGGGCCGGGGACGCCTGTGTCACCTGGGTCCCCTCTATCCCCAGGCAGACCTGTCAAAGAGGGAAGGCAGAAGTGAAAGGATGAACGAATGCGCACACAGACAACTTCCCTATGATGCATTTAGGCTGTCGACTACTAACACTATTTAAAAATAAAAGAAAAATAATTATCGGAAGGAAAATGAAAAGGTGCAATGACAGTGGTGTTTCCAAAGTGTGACCCATGTACCTGCGAGCCCTGTAGGCTGTCCTCCTGAGGCCATCTAGACCCCGGGGCCTGAGGCCAGCCTGGGGGGTGCCAGCCAAGGGCCCAGCCTGACCTTCCAGCAGGTCAGATGTCCCGCTCAAGCCTCCTGGCCTTGGGACCCATAGGAACGGAGCTGTTGCAGTGGCACAGGAAGGCGTGAGGTGGCACGGCTAGCTCTGGCTGTGTGGCATCCCTTGGCGCGGTCCCGAGCCTGCAGGCCCTGCCTGCCTTCTCCATCTCATCATCCTCACTGTCATAGCTTCACTGGCCTCAGCCCACCGTCCTCCAGTCACCTGGCTCCAAGCCCCTGCACCAGATGGCCCACTGAGTTCTGGAAACCCCTGTGGACACACTTCCCTAGTTTAGCTTGCTGGAAAGACCTGACCCCTTTATGGGAGGGCTGGAGCCTTACCTTGAAAGCCGGGGGCTCCTGGCAGTCCCAAGGGTCCTTCTGGGCCGGGGACTCCTGGGAATCCATGCTGTCCTGGAGGCCCAGGCAGGCCTGGCTGGCCGGAAGGGCCGGGCAATCCCAGCTGACCCTTCAGCCCTGGCATTCCAGGCATTCCTTGGCTTCCTGTAGGAATCAGAGATGAGACCATGAGGCTGGTCTACAGTGCCCACGAAGGACAAGGTCTACCTCCTTAGGGCTAGTCTATGAGAACCGCGCTCAACGTTTTCCTTAAAATCTGGACATGACAGGGAAATACAAAAGATAAAATCGAAGTAACTCATACGACCCCCAGGGATAATCGCTAACACTTGGTACCCTCCCTTCCTGTTCTTATCCGCCTTTCCATGCACCTGCAGACGGATGCTGAGAGCTGACACTGAACTCAAGCTGAATCTCAGTTCACTCACGTGACGTATTTTGAGTAGTTTACCACATTTAAAAATTCTTCGCAAACATTTAAAATAGAACATCCCATCATGGGGCCAGCTATTGGTGTGGTGGTTAGGGGGCTGGCTCCCACATGGCCAACTCCACAGTTGGAGTACTGGACCCGGAGGCTTGGAGAACACACCAGGTGTGTGTTCGCGTGCCCTGAATCTCAGGAGGAGAATGGAGAAGGGACTGCAGCATGGCCACCCCTCTGAGGGGGTGGTTTTTCTTTTTTCTTTCCCCGGTGAGCGCACGTGCTCTAGAGAACGGAACAGTACGGAAAGCGGCCACGTGGCCATGCTTGCTGCACTTATTCCAGCACCACCCTCTGCGCTTAGTGCTGTGAGGAACAGCTTCTTCCTTTTTCGGTATGAATGCCCATGCCCACATGGTCGGTAGTTTCTTTAGGAAGTGCCCTGGAAATGCCCATAATGGGTCAGAGTAAACCCTAACTCGATGTTTTTGCTGAGTGTGGACAGAGCAGAAGTGCCGGACTGGGACCACAGAGCACCGTTACTCCGAGCGAATCCCTGAGAGGATTCGGACTCATGTCTGGGCCACAGCCACGGAACCAGGCCCTCGCCCCCTGGGTGACTCACCTCTAAATCCAGGGGAGCCCCTGTCTCCTGGGAGGCCCTTCAGGCCAGGATGCCCGGGCAGGCCCGCATCTCCCCGGGGCCCGGGCTGGGCTCCTAGGACTTCTCCAGGAAGACCCCGGTCTCCTGGGGGCCCGACAGGCCCTGGCAGGCCGCTGGGACCTGGGCGTCCATCCGGGCCGGGGAGGCCCACTGCACCTTTGGATCCTCGGGGTCCCACAAACCCTAAAAGGAAACAAGAGGGTCCCCACAAGCACAGGTCAGTATACGACGCCCCGAGGTGCTGGGAAGAGGTGGATGCGGCCTGGGTTTCCTTCCGCTAGAGGCCGCCCCTGTTGGCCACAGCTCAGACACCCATAGCTCACCCAGTGTCATTCTGTCAGTTACACCCTTTCTGTCCCCACCCTGCCATCAGGCCAGCCCTGCACCCAGCTAACGCGGGCGGCCTGAGAACTGACTACCTCTTGAGCAGACCCCTTCATGTTCACGGGCTTCCATGTTTTGCAAATAACCTCAAAGGAACCTCTGTGGGGCCTCCTAGAGTCCATGTACAAGTCTTCTGATGGCAATTCCTGGGGGGATGCAACCCTCAGCCCCTGGGCCATCTCTCCAGAGCACATGCCCGTCTGGGTCTGTCTGGAAACGCCGTGGGCAGGCACCAATGCCCTTGTCAAACAGACTTTGAGAATCAGCTGTCATGTTTGGATGGAGCAGGGTGACTGTCATGTGCCTCTGCATCGGTGACCACTTCATGTCCTTGCTTCCCCTTTCAGGGCACTTGGCCAGGAGTGACCTCAGACTACCTCCAAGAGCACAGTCACACGTGAGAAGGCGGTCGTGGCTGTGACCTCCCAGCCTCTGTGCGGGGACAGCGAAGGCCGTGACCTCTCCAGCCACCATGCAGGGACAGCGAAGGCTGTGACAGTGATGGCCCTGCATGAAGGTGGCTCTACGGAAAAGCTCGTGCATGGCTCCACCGTCTCAGGCCTGGGTACAGGAACGTGGAACTTCCTGCCCGTCCTGTGGGGTATCCAGCCATGACTGCCTGGACTGTGCAGCCAGCCCGCCTGCGAGCTGCCGTCATGGGGACACCGCGCTGGCATGCAGCGAAGGATCTGAACTTAACCCGACACATGTGAGCTGGGCCCGCCTGCAGGGCCAAGGCCACGGCTGCTGTGTGAACACCTGCAAGCACAGCTCTGCCCTGGGAGTCCGTGGGGATCCTGTGTGTGGACAGACTCACGGCCACGGTTGCAGTGTGAACACCTGCACGCACAGTTCTGCACCGGGAGTCCGCGGGGATCCTGTGTGTGGACGGATTCACGGCCATGGCTGCAGTGTGAACACCTGCACGCACAGCTCTGCCCTGGGTGTCTGCGGGGATCCTGTGTGTGGA